TAAAAACTAGAGTAGCTGAGGTGTTATAATGCAAATAGGCTGAGGAGTTTATTACTGAAACAAAATAAAATATAAAGGCTAATTCAAGGTGTGTTCCTGCTTTTTAAAGTTGACTGTGGTTTTATTTCTTCAGAGTGAAAACATCCAGGTACTAAAAGAGAACAGGCATGTGAATCACCTAATGAATCTCCTAACTATCCAACATACATCAAGTTTAAGTCTAAGTAAAAAAAACTACAAAAAAGAGCTATGATTCACTAAGTGATTCTGTGTTCTTTTCCCAAACTTAAAAAAACAAAACAAAACAAAACTTAATATTTGTTAAGTTGTTGATGGACCTTTTAATCATTTACTTAAACATGGTGCTGAGAATTGAACCCAGTGCCTCACACATGCTAGGCAAGCACTCTACCCCTGAGCTGCAACTTCAGCCCCTTAACAAATAATTTTGTTCTTACAAAATTATTCAAAATTTTGTTAGAAATCTCAATGCTATCATTTAGGGCAGTAACAAAAGCGCCCACTGTGGGAGGAACAGGAGAGAAACAGGAATGAGGAGTGGGGTTGTGGGCACTGTCTAGGTTCTCTTCTCTTTGGCACCGTGGAGGTGAAGCTGAAATTTGGAGAAGGCAAGAACTTCTTTCACCCACCACAGACACGACCTAACAGCATGTGCAAAAACAGACTCTGACCCTCCTCACAGCTGGTCCTCCTCCATGGTTCCTTATCTCAGTGATGGGCCCATCATTCATTCAGTTCTGCAAGCCAGAAACCAGGAGGCAGTGGACACACCCTGCACCTTCAACCCACACCAAGTGCTCTGAGTTTTACCTCCCAAAGAGCCCCCCAGGACATCCACTTCTCTCCAGTTCCACCACCCCAGACCCAATCATTACCTGCCACCTCTTGCAGACTCTTACATTATAGCCTCTAGTCAATTTTTCAAAGGCCAATCTGTTCATGTCACCTCCTTCTAGAAGGTCAAAACCCTGAGTTAAGATTACAAAAAAAAAAAAGCTTGAACATGGCTTGTAAGATACGGCCTGACCTCTGATTTCCCCTCTGGCCACTGGAGGCTTTGCCTAGCACCCAACTAGAGTGTCCTCTACTTGGCGAGCTCCAAGTGGTGGAGTCCCACCCCGACCCCTCCCCACCCTATGCAAACCCCTTCAGTCCTCACCTAGTTCAGCAAGCCCCTCACCTCCAGGGCCGCCTTTCTGACCTGTCTCACATCCCCCAACCAGCACACACCTCAGGCACAACAGCCAGACCAGAGGCTCTGCATTTACTATGACTACTCTGTCCCCAAACCAGAAGGTAAACCCATGATGACAGGGCCACTTCTGTGTCTGCCACCTGGGAGCCTCAGTGCCTCTCTGCTGAACTAGTGGATGAAATCTAAATATTCATCATGCCTTACGGTGTGAGGATGGCAAACCAGCAACCCCAGCCAGCATTTGTCACCACCACCTGCCAAAATCTTAGCTACCTCATTCACCATCTGCCCATGGTGAAGGAGGAGGGGTGGAGAGGGGTCCTCTGTGTCTTCAGTGAAGGGTGGCAGGGGGCGGGGAGTAAAATCATTATCCAGGAAATCCTGTCCCTGTTGAAATACTTAGTGGAAAGCACTATTCTCAAAGAGCTGGGTTATCTCACAAACTCTCCTCAAGCTCTGCCACAGGCAGACTTTGAACCCATGTTCAGAGTTCTCTGAAGGAGGGTAAACCTCCCTTTATGTTAAACTCCTCTAACACCCTTCAGCCCACACAGTTCAGACACCTCCTGGTGCCTGAGGCATTTCACCTCCAAGCTTTCCCATCAGATGAGAAAAGCAAGCCAGGGAGTGAGAAAGAGGAAGGAGGAGGAACTCTGTGGGTCACCTGGCCTGGAAGGTGGCACAAGGACTGCTTCCTGACCCATTCCCTGCATGTCAATCCCCCCCACCCCCACCCCCGTCCTCCGAGGAGGCCAGAGCACCAGAGTGCCCTCCTTGGAAGTCCACCAGTCCCACGGAATACTGCCCCAAAGCAGCCGAGGAAAGCAAGACCAGACAGGCCACAGCCCTCCTCCCCTGAAATGGGCTTCTCCAGGGCTCGCCCTTGTCCCCACCAGATGTCTGTCCTGTCACACTCCACTAAGGCTCCTTTCCCCTGAGAAAGCTTAGAGTTCCCTACTTTCCGCTTTAGTGTGTGCCTGTGTCTTGGTTCAGGTTCCAGACAGTGCCCCCCACCCCCCTGCAGGACAGAATCCTCATCACCTCTTGTAGGGCACCCTGCTGGCCAAACACATAAACACTCAACCCCCTCAATAAGTGGTGCTTTCAGAAGCAGTATTAAGGTACAGTAAATGAGTATTATTTCATTTATACTGTTTTATGTACAAAGTCATCCTCTCAGTGCAGGTAAATCAATCACCAGGTGGGTGGAAGCCCCAAACCCCAACTATTCAGATGTATACATTAAGTGTAATTGACTCTTAATCCTATTATTAAACATTCAATCCCATGAAAGCTACCTAAGTGAAATTCTTAACTTGGGACTGAATAATTAGAATCAATAGCCCTTTGTTTAAAAGATGAAGCTCACTGAAGAACGTACCTTCACCATTTATCAAATCCAAAAAAACAACCAACAGAAGAGCCCCCAAAACTTAAAACTATCAAACTAGATTCTCCATAACTACCTTAGAGATGGCTACTGTGCCCTTCTCAATGACAGACAGGGTGGTCCTAACATAATTTATAGATGGTAACACTCTCTCCTGCCCAAGGAGGAACAGGCAGGGATTCCCACAGCAGACAAGTCTGGCTCACCTAAAAGGAGACCTCTCAATAAGATTCAAAAATGGTAACTGTATATATTACATAAAACACAGCCTTTCAAAAAGTTCCTCTGGTACTGAGGCTCACACACACACACACACACACACACACACAAACACACAGGGTGATGGCTACTCGCCTTCCTTTGCAGTTTTACAACCATCTTCACTGTGTCAGAAACAATTTTTAAATTCTTAGGCATCACCAAGACTTTAAATCAAAATGAAGTTCAAACACACCTGCTGTAAGACAAAAAGGCTGGGAATTCTGACATACCTGCAAAGCAGGTGAGCCCTGAAGAGGCCATTCATGTGGAGGGAAATGAAACAGGCACAGAAGGACACATACTGAAAGGCACCCCCACCAAGGTCCCCAGAGTAGCTGAATTCACAGAGGCAAACTAGAATGGTAGTGGCCAGAGGCTGGGGGCTGAGGAAATGGGGCGCGAGTGCTTAATGGGTACTGGGGGTCACTGTGGGGTGATGGCTGCTTAACAATAGGAACACGGAATGCCAGTGAGTTGCACACTTAAAAATGGTTACAACGACAAATTGTTACATACATTTCACCACAATTAAAAGAAGTTAAAAAAAAAAAACAGAAAAAGACTAAAAGAAATTACAAATTATGAAAAGAAAAAGAAAAGTAGTGACCAGAAACACTGTTTTTTCTGGGCACTATCTTAGCACTCGGCAGAAAACCACACCAGAAGCTCATTTCTTGACCCCCGTCGCCCCCCAAATCCCCAAGCTTGCTACACTCTGCAGTCCTGGTTAAGGAGCTACAATCAGGCCAGAGGTAGACCACAGGCACTGTAGAGCTTGGCTGCTATGTGTCACTTTAAGTTTGAAATGAAAGGAAGAACTTTGTATAGGAAAAAAAACATCTGCCTCATGAACCAGTCATCTTAATGATATGACTCACATCAAAAGTCTATGGTATCTGAATCTATTAGTAATTTTTTTAACCTAATAGTAAAATAAGTCTTCTTATCAAGAATTCCTTTCAGGGAACATAAGACTTAACAGTAGGAAAGGCACAAAAGTATTGATTAAAGAATCACATTATTTGAAAAACTAGAAATAAATTTTTATGTATCATTAATTATAAATGTTAATGACCCGATATTTTCTCCATGACTCAAATCTCAAAAAAAAGGTAAAACCCTCTTCCTAGTGCCAAGTCACCCAGCTCACCAGTGTTAAAATGGTGGAATATACACAAGTTTTTGTTTGTTTCCAGTACTGAGGATTGACCAGTGGTAAAGGGGCGCTTTACCACTAAGCTACATCTCCAGACCTTTTTATTTTTTATTTGAGACAAGGGTCTCACTAAGTTATCCAGACGGGCTTGGAACTCGCGATTCTCCTGCCTCAGCCTGGGAACAGTTGGTGTTACAGGTGTGTGTCACCCGCTGAAATATATACAACTTTCTAAGCAATGGCACTAAGAACCTGTTCCTACAACCACCCAGGCCTGGTCAGCAATCTCAACACAATCAAATCATACTCGTGGACTGGGGGCAGGAACACAGCACTTGAATCAGCTGACTTCACCAGCAGTACACGACCAGAGCCCAGGGAGCGTCCTTATCAAGCTCCAGGGCGGCCTCATCTGCAATTCAAGTCCATCGCTAAACCCTTTCAGAGATAGGAATCCTGCTGTAACCAGCAAATTCCCAGGTTTACAGGCCAGCGCCTCCCGGACCCGGTGGGAATAGGACTGTATGGAGGCTGCCTGCTGCAGAGAGGGTGTCTTCTCTCCCAAATGCCCTTCAAATCGCCCCGGGAAAGTGCGGGCTGCATGTGGTTTCGGACCGTTGAAGGAAATGGACCAGCAGGTGTAGGTAGTTGAAAACCACCAGAGTGCGATTTGCACTTTTTAAGAAACTTCAAAGTTGCACTAGCAGGCACTTTTTAAAAAGACAGAAACAAGGTAAAGGGGGCCTCCGCCTCATTTTCAAGAACGACCACAACTTCGGGGAAGGGGACTCACGGAGAAAAGGCCTAGCGAGAGAAGAGCACAATAGTGTCTTTCTGGCGTCCCGCAAAAGGATCAACAAATGGTCAGGGGACAGGCCGTCAGCGCCCGGTTCTTGTCCCCATCCACTCAAGCAGGTGACTCCCGACGGAGGGGGAGCCTGGCGCACGTGACCCAGCCCAGAACCGGGGCAACTTACTGGTTTCGGCATTTTCGGTTCCTGCTGGGCTCACTCAATCCCCCGGAAACTCGGCTGTGCAGCAGCAGACAAAGTTCTCGCGACCTGGAGTCAGAGACAAGCCCTTAGCGCGCCCGGCAGCCCTCGGCGCGCGGCTTAAGAACCGGCCGGGCGGCGCCGGGTGAGTCACCGCCCCGCGGGGTCGGGGTCGGAGGCGAGAGGCGGGAGGCGGGGGGCGGGGAGCGGCGACGGGGCGGGGCTGCCGGCGCGGGGTCCGCCGCGGTCCTCCTGGGGCCGCCCGAGCGCACAGCAAGTTTCACTACTGTGGCAATCGCTGCCCCGGGCCTGCAACCGCAGCTGTCCAGCCTCGGAGAAACACTTTTAAAAAAACTAACTGCCCGGGAGAGGCCCGGGAACCGGGAGGGGCGCGTCCACGCAGCCCGGGCTCCGCTTTCCCTTCGGGAGGAGACAGAGTGGGCAGAGGACGGTCGCGCAGCAGCCGCAGCGACCGGCCGCACAGGTTCAGCTCCACCTGCCCGGAGTGGGGCCTCGCTGGGCGCCCCTCGAGGTCGTCCGCCCGGGCTCCCATGCTGGCTGTCCTTCCGCCGGACCGTCCCCGCCGCACCTGCTGTCGAGTCCCGCACGCGAGCCCGCCCGACCCTCGCCCCCGCCGCGCGCCCGGCTCACCCGCGGCGCCTGCAGTGGACGTGCGCTCCTGCTGTCCGTGCGACCGCGAGTGCGCCCGCCGCCCGCGCGCCCGAGAGGCCCTCGCGGGGCGGGGTCCCGGGGCCGCGCCCCTTCCCGCCCCGCCCGCGCGACCTGCGAGGTGCGCCCCGCTCAAGATGGCCGCGGCCCCGCGCCCCTGGTTCTGGCGGACCTTTGCCTCGGCGCTGCCTGGGTGGGGGGTTTGTGTGCAGTAGGTTCTACTCCTGCAAGAGACGTAAGGTGCAACACTGTTCCGCACTGGTCACAGGGACATCAAGAAATGTACATAAATCTGGCTGGGCGGGCGCCCGGGGTGGTTGCCCGGCCGTTTGGGGTGGGGCTGCCCCGACGTCCTTGGGCCGGACCCGGGTCTGGGCGGCCGTACCTGGTCGCGGTGTCTCCGTGCACGTGGTCTGTGCCGCCTCCGCCTTCATCCGAGAAAGACGGGCTTAGAAGACGCTCCACCAACGCTTGGTTACGTTAAAGGACTAATGTGTTGCCTTGTTTGACTCACTTGCAAAAAGTTACGTGGGAATCTCTGAAATTCCAGAATTTTTTTTTCTTCTTACTAGCTCTTAGGAGGAGTTTTTAAAACACATGAACTCGGTGACCAGTAGAACTTGTGCAGTGAGTTAGAGAGCTCCCTCTAGAGCGTTGGCTCTCGCAGTCTGGTTCTGCAACTAGCATGTTGCTGTCCCAGCATCCCCTGCGAACTTGCAGCCGCAGAAACGACAGGTGCCACCCCAACAAGGGTTTCCAAAACTCTAGGGCTGGGGTCCAGCAATCTGAGTATCAGCAAGGCCCCCAGGTGACGGTGATGTGGACAAGGTTGAGACCGGAACTCCCCCCTGAATTCCTTCCCTGTGCTCACCACTAACTCCCTATGGGAGCCGGGTGGGTTTACTGAATCCCTTAGCGCTTTTGTTTTCATATCTGTGAAACTGCATTAATTATGACTCCTATTTCATGGGATTGTAATGACGATTAGAGGTGTTAATGCATTAAAATGCCTAGAACAGTACTGTAAACACTCTGTCCTGATACAAGGAGTAACCAAAGATTTGGGGTAAAGTTCCAAACTCTCTGACTCAGTTTCCCCCTATGTAGGGTAAGAGACACTAGTAGCCCCTCCTATATAGATTTAGGATTAAATGAGATTGTGCATGTGGAGTGTTTAGCCCAGCGCTGGGTGAATGGTCATGCCCAACCCACCATGGTGCACTTGGCTGCTGGGGCATCCCTGCCAGCTCCTGTGACCTCCCCACTGTAGGCCCAGGCATTTCAGAGGTCTGTCGAGGAAGGAGGACTTTTCTGAGGCTTTGTCCTCTAATCAGAAAAGTCATTTCCCTCTCAAAGACAAAATTTCTTCTATTAAAAGGTAGATATAGGCTGGAGTTGTAGCTCAGTGGTAGAACACTTGCCTAATGAATGTGAGGCACTGGGTTAGATCCTCAGCACCACGTAAAAATAAATAAATAAAGTAAAGGTATTATGTCCATCTACAACTAAAAAAAAGAAGATATAATGGCAACTGGGGTAGAAGGAAACTATGGAAGATATTTTAATCAGCTACAATGCCAACATTGTACATATTCCTCCTAAAACACCGTGTCTGCAGCACCTTATCACCACTTGGAGTTTTGGTAGCAGTTTGGGACCCCAGCTCTGCTGCTAGGACAAGCTTGTAATGTAATTTTTATCTTACTCAGTTTATGATATATTGTCTTATTAAGTGAATGTTTGAAATAGCAGTGGCCCTAGACCTTCTGGAACATTTCTGAACTTTACCCTTCAGAGGAATACTGAAAAATGGCCTGTGGCAATGTGGTAAAGATGACAGGGTTTAGAAGCAAACAGAGCTAAGGCTGAATTCTGGTTCCAGTGCTTCCTGGCTGGTCGCTCTGGTTAAGCCACACAATTGAGCTTCCAACTCTTCATCTGTAAAATGACTATTTCATAGTATTCTCGTGACACAGAGTCATATCATACAAGCTTTTAACTTACATTCAACTTTTAGGTATTCTCTTCCTCGTACAGTTAGGCTAGCATAAAGCTCTGTTTTGTATATGCATTCCTCATTCCTCATATGTCTCAATGTGTAAGCATTATATTGTTAAACTTACATTTACTGTAAAGGGGCCCCCACCAAATAAAGCCATTTGTACTCTATCTTCTGAGAAATTGGGGGGATTTTTCAGGGGTAACTTATTTTCAAATGCCTTTAGAACCTGAGCCCTCCCTCCCCCAGCACTTGCAGAAGTCTGATTTCCAAGGCAATTTTTGACACTTGCTTAGGACAATGGCTCTGAAGCTTAGGTCCTCTCTGGAGCCCTCCCTAGGAATTCAGGGAGACCCAGGTTGCCCCTGGAATCTGCCTTTAACAAGCTACCCAGGTGATTCTCAGGTGCACCAAATTTTGAGAACCACGGACTTGGAACGTGACAAGACCCTGATGCATTACTTATCTTGCCTCTCTTCCCACCATTTGTGAAGCTGTTCCCTGTGTTTGGAATATATGATATGTTCCCTGTATTTGTTTATATGATAATCAATACCTTAGAAGGAAGCGTGGGAGTCCTGGACCAGGAATCGTGCTTACTGGACTGACTCCCCATTTCAGGAGTGCAAGCATACATCTGCCTTATGAGCCTGGCAAAGGAGGGCTCTTGGTACCTTTTTATTTTAATTTTTCCAGTGCTGAACCAATGGCCTCACACATGCTAGGCAAGTTCTCTGGGCTACATCCCCATGCTTTTCATTTTGAGACAGGGTCTCAATGGCTTGTTCCAGCTGACCTTGAACTTGTGATCCTCCTGAAAGCTGGGATTACAGGAATGTGCCACTGCACTGGGCCTTGGTTGGATTCTTAAGGCAAGGTAAGCCAAAGTGAGAGGGCCCACAACCAGAACCCTTGTACAGAACCGTCACATCCCAGACACACAGTGTAGCCTTCCTATCAAGTCACCTCTGAGCCTGTCTCCACACCGGTGCCAGGTTAATCTCAACCAATTAAAGAAAGTCCACAAATAGCATGACAATCTCCAGCCTCACTCGCTTTGAAAGAACAGTCAATAGGCAATCAGGAAACACATGTGGAGTGTCCTTGACAAAACAGGGTTGTGGGTGATTTTTCAACACTTAACCTTGGGTGAAAATTTAAGATATGCAGTATTCTTGGGAGATGATGCAATTTGAGACACTCTGTGCAGGCTCACCTGCATTGGTTATGCTTTATCAAGGTGAGTGGGGTCCAGGGGTGCCCTTCATTGCCTCCTTTCTACTTTTTTGTGGTGCTGAAATATTTATTTTAAACATCACATTAAGGCAAGCTTCTCTTTGGCTAAGATGATAGTTACAGAGAAATAAACATTTCATGGAATCTCATAAAGTTTCATGAACTCGATATGCAAATTTCTGATATCATGGAACTTTCTTTTCTGACTTCCAGAAGAGTGACTGGGCAGGTGAGAGGGGGCTTTCACAACAGTCCCCTAGGTGCCACTCAGCTGTGTGAGTGGGCATTGGGTCTAGACATAATTGTTAAGGAATTTTACTAGCTGGTAAACTAGGGAGAGTCCCTTGTTTCTATTTTAATGGAGTAGCTTACATAGTTTGGGTGTGCTAAGAATTCTGAATGGCCACTAGCAGTTCTATTTTAATCGTTTTCCTTATTTAATAATTTATATAAACATCCTTAATAATTTTCATGTAAAAGAGTATTAACGACCACACAACTTGTTTAACTCCCAAACAGCATGGCTTCCTATATTATAGTTTTTTCTTATCCTTTATCATCCACCCCCCTTTTTTATTCCAAGCATTTTTTTTCCCCAGTCTAAAAGCATGTGGTACAAAGTGCATTGCAAGAAATGGCTAAGATCAACTGTTCAGATACCTTTGTTTTACAAGGAAGCCGACCCAGAGCATTAAATTGTTCTTATTCCTGCTCCCAGACTTCTCTTGTCTAGCTCCCATTCCCTCTGTCCTGCTGAGTGCAGGCGCCAGATCCCTCTGCCTCATCTTACCCTCTGAGCAGCCTTCCACACATCCGAGCACTCCCTGGCACGCTCTGTTCTTGGGGATCCTGTGTCCTCTCTTCTCTCCTCCAGTTCCCCTCCCCAACCTCTCCCTGGTTCAGCCTGCCCAGGCCTGGGCCCTTATCTGTGTACACTCCCTTCCTGGGTCATCTCATCTGTTCCCAAGGCTTCCGCCACTTCTTCAGCCCTGACCTTGGATTCTCTGATGTTCTTGATTGTTTGAAATCAGCCTTCCTCTTCTCAGCAAATAGCCCTGCTGTGAGCCCTGCTGCTTAGATCTAGAAGTCGGCCTCGATCCCTGTCTCTCCAGCACCCCACTTCACCTTCCCACGCCATCCATCCTATCCAGCAGCCCTCACAGCCCCCTTTCCAGAACACAGCAGATTGGATCCTTCCCAGACTTCTGGGATTTGGAATAAAGTTTAGACTTCTCCTTGGCCCTGTGTGTAACTGCTTCCCCAGCCACACCTCCTGCCACTCATGCTGTCACAGTCCCCAAACTCTGCTGGCTCCACTTCCCCACAGATGCCTGATTATTTATTCTGTGAATATCGGTCCTGTTCCCACCTCAGGGGTCTCATGCTTGATCTTTCTTCAGCCTGGAAGGTGCCATCTCTGTCGGCCTGGCCTTAGCTTATCTTCTGGGTCTTGGCCCAAGGGACCCTCCTCTAAGAGCACATCCCAACATGGCCACCTGAAGTGCCACCTCCCTCCACTCCCTTCCCCCATTTGCCAACTTCAGAGCAGTGGCCACACCACAGTTGTCATGTGTGTTCGCCTTCTCCCTGACCAGGACTGCAGCTCCCTGTCTGTCCTGTTCCCTGCTGGGTCCTCAGCAGCTAAAGCAGTGCCTGGCAGGTAATAGATGTTCATTTCTTGGGTAGGGAATGACCGAGCACTACTAGTTAGTGTCAAAGGTGGGTGCTCTGGTTGGTTTTCTTGCCTGTACACCTACATTGCCAATCATGACACAATACCCAGGACTTTTTATTTAGCTACTTCTGCTGCCCAAAACACCATCA